AACCACACTAGCAGCTAACCCAAGACACAAACTCCAAAGAAAAGACGAAAGAAAAATAACTCAAAAAGAAAAAAAAAGGTGTGCAAACTGAAACGCCTCGAGGAGAACAAACATTCACACGCAAGTCGCTCCCCTAAGCTTAGTCCCAGAGCCTCGATAGTACTCACTCAACACAATCCTCATGCATCGTAATCTCGTACCAGCCAAGAAAAACACAAAACTCAAAAACTCCTATTATTCAAAGAATAAAACTAAAAAGCAAGAGAAAATATCTACAAAAGCAGTAAATCACTTGGTTGCCTCCCAAGAAGCGCTTGTTTAACATCATTAGCTTGACGAAACCTGTAGGGAACTCAACCGGGATCTAAGAAGAAGTGACGGTCGTGCCATGCTTTCGTGTTTTCCAGTTGTGGTAGCATGGGAAGCTTGGCGAGAAGGCTGGCATAGTGGATTCGAGTGGCGATGTTCTTCTTGAAGCAGGCTCGGGCACGAGCAATCCCTAGATCTAAACGCAGAGCTTTTCCCACACAAGCTCTGTCGTCAACCTCTTGAAGTATGAGCTCATCTGTGGAGCAAGTTGAACTAAATCCCACCCACTTCGTAACACAGTGTAGCGACCTCAGAGACGGGTGCTCAAACTCGGAGATGGAAGGAGGGACTTGAGAATCTAGCCCGTGGACCTACTCCTTTGAAATATCATCAACGTCTCGCTAAGGATTATCATCCTCTTCTTCAGCCTCACACATTTGCTTCAATGTACGGGCTCGAGTATCAAGCCTAAAATGGGGGTCTTCGACCGGTGCCTCAATTGTATCGGTATGTGCTGTAAGGGTCTCCATCTTTGTGCTCAGTCTAGCACATCCGAGCTCAATGTCCACATCTCGAGTGGTCAGGGCAAATATACGAGTAAGGATGAGGTCGAGATTTTCATCGTATGACAAAACAGCCTCCCGAGATTCATCTCTATGTATAGACTCGCCTTGAGTGGCGGGATCGGGAGTGACACTGTCAACTCGATCCTTTAAAGCTTGCACGTGCTCCACAAGTTCCTCGATTCTGGACTCAAGGTTGCTCTTACGGGTCGCCTGGGATGCCAAAAGAGTGAGGACCTGGTCAAGCTTGGCATTGTACTCTGAGGAATCCTCGAGGGACTCACATGACTGCTCAACAAGCCTAGAATCCCACTGTTTCTCGTAAGGATCTGACTAAGTCTGGCCATCGTCCCGGGAATCGTAGAATGGAGGTGATTGGGCACACTGGTTGCGGTTTCGTCTTCCTGAGCTAACCGGGATGTTGCAAGTTCATAAATACTGCCGAGCTTCTCGTTGAATGCGTGGAACTCATAATATTGCTCGACCGGGAAGGGGTCCCGGTATTGCTCGAAAGAGTATGGGTATGACTGAATTTGGTACTCAGTGTGGTAGCTCGGCTTGTTAACCCAAGGTTGGGTGTGCGGTAAGGGGTAAACACGGTTGTAGCTTATGATACCTGCACACCAAAGCAGAACAACCACGCCTAGCCACGAAAAGAAAAGAAAAGAAGAAGAAGACAAAAGCAAGAAAGACAAAAAGAAAAACAAATATGCACAAAGAAAAGAACAAAAATATGAAAATAGCAGATTGGTTGAATTATTAAATAAAAATTAAAATAAAGATAATGATCTACCTAAAATGCAGATGAAACAAAGATGGAGGAGCTAGGGAGTCGGGGATAATTAATTCAAGTTTTATTTGCAAAACCAGGACATTTATCATTCTATTTCAGATTGACACTCTCTCTTAAACATCTAGCGGTTCGCTCCCAATAACTCTTCGTAACAAGGGATTGAACATAGACGAACAAACTCGAGCATACGACACAAGCCAATTATCCCATCCCAATAACTTTTTGTAATAAGGGACGGGTCATCGACAAGCGCATATTTCAACCCAAAACCTATAGACTATTCATTTACGAAATCGCCTACCTCATGTGAGCCTATGTCTACGACTTCTCCCCTTTCGGTTCAAAAAATCGCTAATTTAACTAGAAGGTGATTAATCAACTAGTCATATAGAATCG